GTTTTGGGGTCTGGTTTTTCGGCTCATAGTTCCATAACTTAAGAAACAATGAAACCCTGGAATTAGCATCTTGATTTAACTCTGGGAGCCTAAACCCCAAATCCTCAAGCCTGAACCCTGAAGCCCCAAAGCCCAAACCTCGAACCCTGCACATTTCAAGCCTAAACCTGAACCCCCAAACCCTGAAGCATTAATTCCTGAACCCTTCACCGACCTCGAACCCTAAACCGACCTCGAACCCTAAACCTGAAACCCCGGGACCCTGAACCCTAACCTGAAGCCCTAAACCCTGTACCCCAAGCCCTAAACCCTAAACCATATAATCCCCTGCTGGCCCATGTCCTGTCGTCCTGGCGCTGGCAACTTCGGCCGGGGCCTCCGTTTTGCTTAAGGGTTTAGGGCTTAAGGGTGTAGGGTTTAGCAGTTTGGGTGACGACCGATTCAGGTCGAGACCGATTCAGGTCTTAGTCATAGGCTTAGGATAAGCGACCGATTCAGGTCGAGACCGATCCAGGTCTTGTAAGTTTCGGGTCTAGGGTTTAGGGCTTAGGGTCTAGGGTAGGGCTAGACGACCGAAGCAGGTCGAGATAAGTTACGGGTCTAGGGTAGTGCTTAATATGTAATGTAGTCTAAGTCTAAGACGACCGATTCAGGTCGAGACCGATCCAGGTCTTAGGTCCTAGGTCTGAGAGTAGTCTTGGTCTTAGCTGCTTAGGGCTTAGGCTTCGGGTTTGGAGTAGGGCTCCGGACTTTCGGGTTTGATAATGCATAGCCCCCGAGCCCTGGTTCCCCCTAAGCCCTAGCTAACTGAGGACTTGCGGGTTTTTAACCCAAAACCCCTACACCCAAAAATCCCTGCGCCCTTAAACCTTAAACCCCTAAACCCTAAACCCCTGTAATAAACCCTAAACCCCTGACCCTGAACAAACCCCTCAATCCTAAGCGCCCAAACCCCCTTTCGCCTGGTTGGAGGGTTTTCGCTTCAATGACAAGCATAGCCAACCCCCCTAAGCCCTAGCTAACTGAGGACTTGCGGGTTTTAAGCCCAAAACCCCTACACCCAAAAATCCCTGCGCCCTTAAACCTTAAACCCCTAAACCCTAAACCCCTATAATAAACCCTAAACCCCTGACCCTGAACGAACCCCTCAATCCTAAGCACCCAAACCCCTTTCGCCTGGTTGGGGCCCCAGCTGCACGCACTCGCCCTCGTCGGTTTCAGGTTTCAGGGTTTTTTGGGAGGTTGATTGCAGCTCGGTTCAAGGCATTTTTGACATCGCGGCGAGCCTTTTCATTTCAAGGGATCTCTCACCTAACTACCGTCCTCGTCCCAGCTTGTGCAATATCTCAGTCTCAAATTCATCAACGATGTCATCTCCAACATCAACTCAGGCCCGTCAACCGTGACCCGGATGTCATGTCCATGCCTGACCCAACCTCAGCCCGGCCCAGGTCAAAAGCTGCTGTTTGCTTGGCGCTTGTGGGCTTGGAGCTCAAAGCCTTGCGAAGTGGTGTGTCGCTTTACTTCTCTAGGCACGCTTGACTGCCCAGGTCAAATTCCGCGCTGGTGGGGTTGGAGCCCAAGCCTAA